CGTAGTATAAGTATATTTTTGATAGATTTAGATGAATTTAAGTTTTAACAGGATGCATTTTGATAAGATATAGCAAATTTGTCTAAAATTATCATAGACAATACTGACTTCACCTAACCCCACCTGCCCTAACATAACTAAGGCTAGAACAAATAAGTCTGTTAGATGGTTTGAATAAATACATAAATATGGTGGCCTGATTGGAGAGAATGTAACAAGGAAGGTATTAATAAGACATAAAAACAGTGGACATATGTTAGATGAATAGTTTAGCGCTAATAATGTTGATATCTTAATGGAAAAAGAATGTGTTATATATTGAGCTCATCGGAAGTCATATGAACCATTTTTATATGTGAAATTCTGACTTTTGGGGAGTTGGTTAAACTCAGCATATTATAATTAATGTCCTAAATATACCCAGAAAAATATCATGCAAATTGTGTATTGTTTGTCCTAGTTGGTTGTGTTTGTACATATATAGCACAATTAATATACTTGTGTATTAATTGTGCAGATTATGTATTTTGCATAAGTTGTATGATTATTGCAATTATGTATTGATTATATTTCTATAAATTGTGTATTGTTTTGTGCAAGTTGTATGTATTAATTGTATATGTTTTTGTATGTGTATTTGCGGAAATTGCATAGTTGTGTATTTAATGAATATGTGCTAGTTATGTATTGTTCATATTTTGGTAAGTTGTGTATTGATTATATTTTTGAGCAAGTTGTGTAAATGCCGCAATTGTATTTGTGTAAATCGTGTATTTATGCTAGTTGTGTATTTTCATATTTGGGGTAGTTATGTATTGTACGTATTTGTGCTAGATATGCATTTGTACAAGTTGTGTAATAATTATGAAAGATGTGTAATATTTGTATAAGTTGTGTATTAATTGCGCATGTTGTGTAATTGCATATGGACGAATTGTTTATTTATACCTTTGCGTATTGATTGTCATTGTGCAAGTTGAGTAATTATATAGCAAGTTTTCTTGTATTAATTGTGCAAAGATGTAAAATAATTACACAAACTGTGTAATAATCGTCCATGTTTTATAATAATTTTTGTGATAATAGTGCATTTATGCAAGTTGTGTTTTTAATTTGTTGAAGTGGAACTGGTGCAACTGTATTTGTGTGTGAAAATTGTGTATTTTGTGTAAGCTCTGTAATCTGATAAAATAGATCTCCATGGTGTAAGTGTATTTTGGTTTATGAGACAATGTGTGGGTATTTTGTGAAAATTATGTTTGTGAAATTGTGTAATTTTAGTGAAAGCGCATTTTTGATTGTCTAAATGCATAAGACTTTTGATATATTTGTGCAAAATACCGTACTTTGTGTAAATGTCATACTCTGAGTGTACATGCAATATTGTGTAAATGGTATATTTTTGTATGCATCTGACATATTTTGTATGAAAATGTCATATTGTTTTATGTGATGGCATATTTTGAGTGTAAATAATATATTTTGTGCATAAATGGCATATTTGGTGTGTAAATGCTGTATTTTCTGTGTGTATGGCATAAATTACATCTGATTAATGGGGAAATGGTGGCAAAAAAACTAGGCTATTCTCTATGAATGCATAGGTTTTGAAGTATGTGTAGGTATGCATGATTGTATTTGCGACTGTTGGTTTAGAAACAAGTTAGCTGATTTGCGTAGCAAGACTAGGATTTTTTGAGGTGTAGAAATGATTAGCCTATGAATATAGTGGCTAGCATCCAGCTGAGTTGCTAGATGGATGAATTGAGGTGCGACATTTGGATATCTATTTGATGGATGTGAGGACAGTTGACTAGCCTATGAACACAGCCACTAATCCGCTGTACTGCCAGATGTGTGGTAACTACTTGTGGATTATAGTAGAATATCTAGCTATAGGGTTTCATAATTGCTGTTGTGTATAAAACTAGAATAAGAGCTATTTATTAAAACTATTATTGTAAACTATTACTTTAAGTGGGATCCCTTGGTTGTTTTAAGCATAGGGTGGACATGAATGAGATTGGGTGGAAATATATAGGAGCTGCCTCGTATGGGCCAATAGGACCTCTGCAGTTACCTTTATTCTTATGTTCAGCTCACCTGCTATGCTGCCAGATGTACGATTCTGCTTAAATTGCAGTACGACATTTGGGCTTCTGTTTTACTTTTGAACTTATCACTGAATAATGATTACAGTTGTGGATGACTAAAATGTATATTCTTAAACCTCTGATTAGGTTAGGTGGGGATGGTTAGTCTAGTCATTTTTGAATAATAACATTAAATACACATGCCAGTAGGACGCCAAAGGTGGCATTGGTTGTCTGGTGACGTCATACATAGTTGACCAGTAAGGTGCAGTAATACCTTCACACCTATATGCTAATGGCCAGCAATACATTATCCCTATACCTGAGTTCGCTTTTCACGATGTCACTAAACAACAACAATAACTGTTCTGTAGAATGTATTTGTTTGTTATATATAATAAGTTAGGATAGGTTAGGTTAGGAAGGTTTGATCGGGTTTATGAATAACAGAAAATATAAGCAATGAGCGAAAATACGAGCTATTGTAGCTGAATATCAACTCTGATGAAGCACAGAGTATAGGTGAGGTATTAAGCTAGATTAAGAGTTCACACTTATGTGTGAACCTCCTGGGATCCGTATTTAGCCCGTTGATGCCTCGTGCCACATTAGGGATGATGACGTCACAAAAGGTGGTAACTGCAGAAGGCTTTTATTTCAAAATATGAGAGGCTTGCTTTTACTGAATGAGTTTTTTTATTTGTTAAATGCTACAGTATGGTGTGGGAGGTATGTTTTGAGCGAATGTGAGACGCGCATAAGGATAGGGTCACTACCGAACTCGCATTGAAATCACCAATGCCCAGGCCTCTATTTTTTTAATATAAACGACTGAGAGCAGTTTTATTTTTTGCCCTATGTATAATAAACGATCCTTCAAGAAAGATTGTCAAAGCTCAAATTACATTCTCTAGAACGACGACGAAGAAGAAATAGGGGTGACATGATAGAGGTGTGACTGAATGGTCATACTAAAGGGGAATATTAATAACCTATTATACGTATCAACATGAAACAGAATAGGAATGAATTGGATAAAGTTTTATATTTAGGAAAAAGACCTGGGTAAATACAGGTAGCAGGGGACGAACTTGAAAATACACACATAACTTCTTGCAGTGCTGAAGTTATGTTCTTCCCTCACATACATGATCCCCTTTGATAAATGTAATGGGCGATGGTTGGAAGTAAATATGAAATTAAAAATAGACTAGGGATGATGGTATTTTATATTAGGTTTCAAGGTCACTGTTGTATCGCAAAACACACGACTCATAGACCGGCTTTTTAATCCCCTCGAACATGCCGGTGCAGGAACGCTGAACGGCTAGCTGGTGACGTCATTGACCATTAGCAATGTCTGTGCAGGGTCACTGAGCCAACGAAATTTGGGGATGCCAGGGACCGGCTTTTTAATCCCTAGGCAAGTTGAATAGAGAAAACCCAGGGTGCGTAGACCGTGCCCGGAAAAAACAAAAACGCACGGTCTAGGACCCCTCCGTCTCCACGGTGGCCCAGGGTGGACCCCTCCGTGTCCACGGTGGCCCAGGCCTGACCCCTCCGTGTCCATGGTGGCCCATGGCGGACCCCTCCGTGTCCACGGTGGCCCAGGGTGGACCCCTCCGTCTCCACGGTGGCCCAGGGCGGACCCCTCCGTGTCCACGGTGGCCCAGGGTGGACCCCTCCGTGGCCACGGTGGCCCAGGGCGGACCCCTCCGTGTCCACGGTGGCCCAGGGTGGACCCCTCCGTCTCCACGGTGGCCCAGGGCGGACCCCTCCGTCTCCACGGTGGCCCAGGGTGGACCCCTCCGTCTCCACGGTGGCCCAGGGTGGACCCCTCCGTGTCCACGGTGGCCCAGGGTGGACCCCTCCGTGTCCACGGTGGCCCAGGGTGGACCCCTCCGTCTCCACGGTGGCCCAGGGTGGACCCCTCCGTCTCCACGGTGGCCCAGGGTGGACCCCTCCGTGTCCACGGTGGCCCAGGGTGGACCCCTCCGTGTCCACGGTGGCCCAGGGTGGACCCCTCCGTCTCCACGGTGGCCCAGGGTGGACCCCTCCGTCTCCACGGTGGCCCAGGGTGGACCCCTCCGTCTCCACGGTGGCCCAGGGTGGACCCCTCCGTCTCCACGGTGGCCCAGGGAGGACCCCTCCGTCTCCACGGTGGCCCAGGGTGGACCCCTCCGTGTCCACGGTGGCCCAGGGTGGACCCCTCCGTCTCCACGGTGGCCCAGGGTGGACCCCTCCGTCTCCACGGTGGCCCAGGGTGGACCCCTCCGTCTCCACGGTGGCCCAGGGCGGACCCCTCCGTCTCCACGGTGGCCCAGGGTGGACCCCTCCGTCTCCACGGTGGCCCAGGCCTGACCCCTCCGTGTCCATGGTGGTCCAGGGTGGACCCCTCCGTGTCCACGGTGGCCCAGGGCGGACCCCTCCGTCTCCACGGTGGCCCAGGGTGGACCCCTCCGTCTCCACGGTGGCCCAGGCCTGACCCCTCCGTGTCCATGGTGGCCCAGGGCGGACCCCTCCGTGTCCACGGTGGCCCAGGGTGGACCTCTCCGTGGCCACATAACACCCCCAAATTTCCATAGTGGTGCCTCACCCGATCTAATCAGTAAGTGCAACTCTGTACAGGTGTCAACAACACCTGCGAGTGCGCGTGCACGTGTCACTACACCCACACGCAACACACACACACACACACTTCTCTTTCACTCTCAACTATTTTTAATTCCAACTAAGCTTTGAAGCTTTACAAAAAAAAAAAAAACTTGCTCCCTGGAAAAAAAATCAAATGCATTTAGTCTCGTAACAAAAATTGTTTTCGGGGGAAACAATGAACAATAAATGAAATAAAAATAATGAAATAAAGACTTCGAAGAAAAAAAATATTTCATTAAACATTGTTGTTTA